TGCTCATCAGCCAGGGCTGAAATCGGGCAGTGCCTCTGCACTGGGGACGTGTTCAGCAGAGCTCTGCTGCAACCTGAGCCCACCAAACTCCAGGGCCTTGAACACACCAGCAGGATCCACTGCTGGAAAAGTACATTCCCCACCTCTGCCCATTTTTCCCAGTCACTTCTGATAACTGTCTGTGCTTTTTTCCCCATGCAGCAGCTTTGCCTTTGTGTTCTTAAGCCTCTTTATTTTACCACATTAGCTGCCATGTCGTGCTCATTTGACACTATTCTGGAGGGGCACTCGATGGTTTGGTGTCTGCACACCTTTCCTGATACCACGGTTCTCTTTCCACCCCATTTTAGTTTTCTGGGAATGTCTCACCCTGAGTGCTGTGTGAAATCTTGTCATCATGTAACTGAAGTGCACAGGTGATGTGCTGGCCCTTCCTGCAAAGATCACCTTAGTGTGAATAGTTCCTTGCTAATGCCAAGTGCCCCATGAAAACACAGATTATTAACTCTCAGAGCTATGCTTTTTTGGTTGTAATGAGTCACTGTGCCTTGAGCATGGAGAGCAATTACCTCTGACTCATCAGAGAAGGAAAGCCTGATTTTCTGCTCTGAAGACAGGTAACTTGGTGTCATACTAATGATTTGAACACTCTGTTGGTCCGATTCCAGCGTGTTAACGTTTTTCTGTGTTATATCCATAGCAACTTCCTTTTTCCCTGCTCTTCCCCAAGTCCACAAAGCTGCCATTCTTCTGACAACCCTACATTACGTATCTGCAGTTGTCCAGTCACCCCAGCCTGCTGTGGGCCAGCTGATCTAGGGACATGTGGGCCTGCTACACATGGAGAAGAGGTCACATTCCACACCTGCATTTTCTAAAGAAAGCTCTGTTGCTGCCCTCTGTTTAACAAGGCTTGGTTTATTTTCAGCCCCGAGTGACCGTGGGGAGTTCAGGCCCAGAGCTGCAGGGGGACGCAGGAACAAGGTGTTTACAAAGTTGTTTCCTCCAGCTTGGCACCTGACACTTGCATTCTTGGCTCCTCTTTTGCCATTTTATTTGGTGTTCCACGGAGCTGGCAAAATCCATTTTCTCCAGCAGGTGCTGTGAAAACTTCCCCCTCACCAGAGCAAGACACTCACTGAGGAATCTGGAGGCTGCTCAGCCACAGCCTGCAGTGTCCTTTGCTGCTCCAGAGGAGCCTTCCTCACCTCTAGCTCAGCCTGTGACCCTTAACTCTGTGCTCTTCAGTGGTTTAACCCTGCACAGGCTCTTGCCAATGTGTTCAGTCCTCCCCTTGCTGGTGCTCTGAAACTTTTAGACGTGTTTGTCCTTTTAATCCACGAATTCAGGTTCTTGTTACAACGCTTTAAAGATGCACTGCCGTGAGCTGGGAGGTCTCTCTCAACATCTCAGTGCCTGGAGTGGTGCAGAAGTGCTGCCCAGGGGTTGTTTTGCCCAGCTGAGCAGCTCAGGGCAGGCTGTGTGACATCAGGTTTGCTGTGCAGGGCCTTGGCTCCGCTTTCCGCTCCCACACTTCCCGGGGCAGCGGGTGGTGGAGATAAAGAGCTCAGCGTGGTGGGGAAGGGAGGGACCTGCCCTGCTCAGTGCAGATCACTGAGCTGATTGAAGAGCTGGGGTGGTGGTGGGCCCCAGAGGAAGCTGCAGCCAGTTCTCAGCAGGAAGGAAAATGACCCCATGGAAGGGTGGTGAGGGCAGGGGACAAAGGGAAAATGCTCTTTGGCACTGATGGATTTACCCACGAGTTGGTCACAGCCTGGGCAGTGGGGTTTAGAAGCAACATGTAGCGTTTCCCAGGGTGCTTTTCATGCATTTTAACTTGTATTTTTAATCCAATGCAATGTATGGTTTATTGCAGCCCTGCAAATACTCAGATCACTTGAACACTGTGCCTGGTGTTGCAGTAGAAAGGTGACCCCATGGAAGGGCCTGGATCTCCAGAGGTCCCTTCCAACCCCAGCTACTCTGTGATTCTGGGAAACAGAAGGGAGTAAAAGAGATGATTTTCATTTATTCTTTTTTAATACCAGCCTCTGCTCTGACCAGCCTTGTGGTATTTGTGTTTCCTTCAGCCTGATTTCTGAATATAAATGAGCTCACAGCTCATATCCGGAACAAACCCGAAATGTGAGGCACATCCTCAGGGCCTCCATGACAGGTGTCCATGGCCCTGCTATCTCACAGGAACCACTGGCCTTGTGGAACACAGGAAACCAGGACCTTCCAGCTCCTCTCTGCCAGGAGCTCTCACATGGCCAAAAGCCCAAGGGACAGACCTGATTGGGGCTGACCCGTGTTTGTCACAGCACGTGGGTGACACAGGAACACAGCTGGGAGCACTGGTCATCTGGGCCTTGGAAAAAAAAAAAAAAAGGATGGTGATGGGTTTGTTTGCTTCCAGGCTGGCAAAACAGAATTTCCAGGGTCTGCATTTCTTCTCCCAGATCAGGGTCAGCCTCTGACATCACTGCCTGCCCTCGTGAGCTGCTTTTGCTCTGGACTGACATCTGAAGGGGTAAGTCACGACCAGTCTTTGAGCTTGCCTATTGGGATTCCTGTTTGCAAGTAATTAGGAACTCAGTTCCTTCAGGATCCTTGGCCAAAGGCAGCTGGGACTGCACTGACATCTGTGACAGAGTGGTGGAGCTGGAGCAGGGAGCAAAGGCACCTCTCAGGGCACTGTCAGCTCTGGATGAGGTGGGTGTTCTGAGTGACTTTGGCCAAACCCTTTTATTTTGCTGCATTCTGTGCAAGAGGGAGTCACCCTATACCCATTGTGGGCTCTCAGGCTGTTCCTGAGTGCTGGCCCAGAGCTGGACAGTTTGGCAGTGCCAAAACCACGTGGCTGCTGTAAAACACACGGGCACCACATTCCCTGATCCAGCTGCAGCTCAGTGGTAAACCCTTCCCTCTCCAAACACTTTGTTGCCTTTGGTACCTGCTCCCTGCAATTGGAAACCCATTTCCTGCCCTTTCATCCTCTGCCTCTCTGATCTCTGCGCTGGTGGGGGTTTTATCTATTTCTGTGTTCTTGTCTCAGGCAGCTTTTGTCTCCACACTTCCACTTCCTGAGGGTGCAGCTGGGCTGGGCAGCACCGAGGTCATGTTTTGGTGTGCCTTGTTTTTGGGGAGGTGAGGGAAGGACGGTTGTTCCGGGGGAGATACGGATTTTCCGAGCCAGGAAGGAAAGATGCAGGCGGAAGGAGAGCCTTACCCAGGTTTATTTGGACAAAGGAGAACAGAGGCTGGGGCTGGAGGCAGGATTTGGAGCTCCAATCCCAGCCTGAGTGTGGAAGTGTGTTGTGGTTTTAGTTAAGACATGTCTCTGTATGTCTTAAGTCTTCCTTGAGGTCTCTTTGCTGGTGTCACAATAGGAGGGTCTGGGAATTAGGTAAGTGACTCCAGAGGCTCCTCAGCCCTTGAAATCACAGCATGGTTTGGGTTGGAAGGGACTTTAAAGCTCATCTCATTCCACCCCTTGCCATGGGCAGTGGCACCTTCCACTAGCCCAGGTTGCTCCAGGTTTATCCAACCTGGTCTTGGACACTTCCAGGGATGGGGCAGCCACAGCTTCTCTGGGTACCCTTTGCCAGGGTCTCCTCACCCTCACAGGGAGGAATTTCTTCCCAATATCCCACCTAACCCTGCCCTCTGGCAGTTTAAAACCATCACCCCTTGTCTTGTCACTCTCTGCCTGTATAAAAAGTCCCTCATCAGAGCTGCTTTCTGTCATTAGTTCTGCTCTGCTCCACGTGTTCCAGTCACCCCCTTCTCCCAAAGCAGCAAATACTTCAGGAAACAACCCTTCTCTTGCTCAATTTTTAATGAGAGCAGACAGAAATGAAGTAGCAGAGCCCAGAGCTTTAGATCACAATGGATCCCCTGCTGCCCACGACTGCCTTTGTTTCCTCAAGGAATGAAGTCACCAGCTCCAGTCACACTTGTCTCCCTGTATCCATGGGGGAATGTGGTTCCTGTGCTGCCCTCCCCCTTCCCCCTGCACGGGTGGTTGTGTCACAGCCACCCTTATTGGCCCAAAACCTGTCTCCAAGGCCTGGAGCTGGGGATCACATCATCACTCTGAGTAATAACTTGCTGCTGACTGTTTCCTGGGAGGAAAGGAAAGGCAGGAAGGAAAAAACAACAACTGCTCATAAGTTCCACTCATGCAAAAAAAAAAAAAAAAAGAAAAAATGGGGAAATAAAAGGAAAACATGAATCAGAAGAGTTGGTGTCATTCAAGAACATGGAATTTTGCAGAGCATTGAGGAGCTTATCTCTGCAGCAGGAGTTTTTATGCTTTTTATTTATTTGTTGGGGGGTGGTTTGGCGTAAACAGGCAAAGCGTGGACGTGACAATATTCCTGATTTTTTTTCCCTGAACTCCACCAGTCTGGCAGAGGCCTGAAAGCCAGTGGGTTCCACCTGTACTGGTCCAGGGCCTGGCTCCAGCCACATTCCCCTGGATGGGGGATAATCAAAGCACAGATCCATAGTGGGATGGATGGATGGATGGATGGATGGATGGATGGGTGGATGGGTCGGTGGATGGATAGATGGATGGATGGATGGATGGATGGATGGATGGACAGATGGATGGGTGGATGGATGGATGGATGGACGGACGGAGGGATGGATGGACAGATGGATAGATGGATGGATGGATGGACGGAGGGATGGATGGATGGATGGATGGATGGATGGACGGACGGATGGACAGATGGATGGATGGATGGACGGACGCACAGGGATCGCTCCCCCCGCTCCACGCGGACTCTCCCCCACGTGACCCCAGGCCACGCCCAGCACCACGAAGGGGGCGTGGCCTCTCCTCTCCCCCCTCCCCACCGTGGTCCGCGCAGGGGGCGGGGCCGGGAGTGACGCCACGCGCCCGCAGCCAATAGGAGCGCGGCGCGGCGCGCTGGGCAGGGCCGCCATTGGCGGGGGGTGATGTCAGGGCGGCGCGCGCCGGGCCCGGCGGGGCAGAGCGGGGAGAGCGGCCGGGGGAGCGCTGAGGGAGGTGCGGGAGCCGCGAGGGAGGGAGCGCTGAGGGAGCGCTGAGGGAGCGCTGAGGGAGCGCTGAGGGAGCGCTGAGAGCAGCGAGTGGAGCGTTGAGGGAGCGGCGGCACCGCGGGCACACGGCGCGGGACCGGCCGCGGCAGCTCCCGCTCCGCTCGGGGCAGCGCATCCCCGCGGTGTCCCCTCCGCGGCCGCTCCCGCTGCGCTCCGGGAGCGCCGGTCCCGCTCCCCCCGCGACGCGGCTCTGCGGGCGCTGCGGCACCGGCGGGCGGGGGCCCCGGGCGTCCTGCGGCTCGGGGGTCCCTCTGTCCCCTGACACGGCCCCCTGAGAGGGGAAGGAGAGCCGAGGGGATAGTCCGGGGTGCGTTGAAGTCCGAACCTTCGACATAGAAATGAAGGAGCTTCTTGTGCTGCCGTGGAATCCAACAGAATATCTGTTTTCCTCCCCTGTATTTCAGGTGAAAGGCGAGTTCTTGGAAAGCCGCGTCAAATCCAGGGCTGTCCGAATGCCAGAGCCCACCCTGCAGCCCGCCCAGCTCAGCGAGCGACCTTAACTGGGGACCTGCTGTTGCTCTAAATAGGAGCTGTGGTTGTCTTGTGCTGTTGGGTGAGAAATTCTCCTGGAAGAGGAGGACGACAGACACTTGGAGCTTGCCGGGATTGCTGGCAGAGAGCAAAAGCCAGGCTGAAACAGAGCAGAAAACCCCACAGGAGACTTCAGACTGGAATTCTGCAGGGGCACAGTGCTACTGGGAAAAGCAACAGAAGGTAGCAAAAAGAGCTTTTCCAGGCTGGATCATCTCTGCAAGCCGGGTTTTCTCCTTGCCTTGGGTGCCCCATCACAGCAGCCGTGCTGCAGGAAGAAAACCTGGAAAAAGATGCACTGAAGTGTCACACGTCAAAGAAGGAAAGCTTGGATCCTGCCTTGGAGGCTGCTGTAGCACACAGCACTGGAGAGGAGAACCAGAGGGAATTAACTGGCCATCATTCCCAGTTCCTGCTCTCTCAGTGGTTGGTGTCCCCTGTTCCTGGACTTTGCTTGATGGGGATCTCTGCTGCAGGAGCAGGCTCTGCACTCCAAGGCAGGCGGGCAGGGATAGGAGAGGTCGCTCCTAGATGCCGGAAAGGCCATTTGTGTAAGTTCCTGGCAGAAGATCTCTTCTGGAACAGCTGCTGGCTGTAGGCCCACCAAGCCAAGGGTCAGGATAGCCTCTGAACAGCATGTCTGCCAAGCCTGAGAAGAAGGAGACCCACCAGGCCAATGGGGCTGTGCCTGTGGACCATCTCACCGGTCCGGACCAGGGGCAGCTGGTGGAGCCCTCAGATTTCCTGGGACCTGCTGCAGTAGAAGCAGTGGTGCTGGAGTCCCGTGCCAACGCCAAAGGGGTGCGAGAAGACGATGCCCTGCTGGAAAATGGCAGCCAGAGCAATGAAAGCGATGACACCAGCACACACCAGAGTCCTGAGCCAGCCTCGCCCCTCAAGGAGACCTCCTTTTCCATTGGGCTGCAAGTCCTCTTCCCGTTCCTCCTGGCAGGCTTTGGGACAGTTGCTGCTGGAATGGTGCTGGACATTGTGCAGGTAGGATTGATGCTTCCCTGGCATGGCACTGGGCTCTGAATCCTGTCAAGCCAGGAGGGACTGGAATGCCAAGGCTAGTTCAGCAGATGGCAACAGGGAGGGAAGGAGACCAGTTCTCTTGGCTGGGGAAGGGGAGACAGGGAGACCTTGGTGATGTGTGGAATGAGGGAAGGAGAGGCCGAGGGCACCCCTGCACAGCTGCACAGCTGTGGCTCAGAGGAGGAGGTCACAATGTGGCACGATGTGGCACCTGAGACCACTCTGCATCACAGCTCGAAATGAAGCCCTTCCCTGCTGGTGGCTGGTGACATCCCAGCCCCAGTCACTGGTTCCACTTGTGTCCCTTTTCCACCTTGGGTGTTTGCTGGGCTGTCCCAGCACGCCAGGCTCGTGCCACCACGTTAATGATTCTCCTGCCACAGCGTGTGCTGGACACCTGTGGGGGGGCTCATTCCAAAGCTTGAAGGCCACGTGGCCCCTTCACCTCCTCCTCGTGCTCCTGACGTGGCCAGGGGTGACAGGGCTAAAGGAGTGGTTCCTCCTGGGAGGTGTGTGGAGGTGATCCTTAGGAAAGGCCTGCCAGAGAGCTGGCACTGACCTCTGGATGAAAACCAACGTGTTACCTTGGCAGGTGATGCTGTGGGAACCCGACAGCCTGGCAGCTTGTTTGTGTTTTTATGTGGGAATGGTGCCTTTGGAAGCTGTGGCTCCTGCACTGGTCTATAACACGTTTTCCAAGCATGTGTGTCTGGCAGCAGAGGAGTTGCTTCACCTCTTCTCCTTTGCCCTGAAAGACAGGCTGGGCAGAGCTGTCTGATGCCCAGCCCAAAGCGGTGACTGAGGCTCAGAACTCGCTCATCTGTGCAGTGGAGGTTTATGAGACTCTCTGGATGGGGGAGGCAGCCATTTTGGAGCTGTGGTCAACCAAAAATGCTCTGCTTGAAGCTCCTCTCTCTGCTCAAGTGAGGTAAACAAGCCCTCGAGTGTTGGCAGAGAAGGGCTCGAGTGTCAGCCCAGGGTGTTACCCTGTGCCAGGGTAAGTCAGTCAGAGGGTTTTTTTGGGCTTGTGGGTGGTCAAGCAGACACTCCTCGTGGTGTCCTGCCCGTAACAGCAGTTTCCCTGCGTGCCTTTGCACTCTGGTCATCCTTACGGGCTCTCTTGGCCGTTGAGAGAGCTGTGAAGTGACTCAAAACAGGAAAAGCTGGATGTGCTAAATTAATCTGGGAGAGAGAGAGATTTACTGGAATCATTTTCTTAAAAAGAAAGACCTTTCAAGCGTGTTTCCCTCTGCAAAGGTCCCTGTAAACTCCTGCGTGGCTCTTCTGGAAGCCCCCCAGAACCAGGGATTTGAACCCAACCTAAAGTTTTTCCTGGAGAAGGAGCAGCCCTTCTGGCTGGGAAGGAGTGGGCAGGGCTGGGATACTGCAGCTGAGCCCTGTGTTCTCCTGCCTTTCTTTTTTAGGGCCATTAGAAATAAAACTTTGTAATTCCCGTGTCCCACAAGCAGCTCAGCGTGTGGCTGTGCAGCTTTTCCTGCCAACAGCTCTAACTCCCTTTAGCCTTGGGATTAAATGAGCCATAGGGTGGGAAAGGGGGATGGGAAGCCTGTTGGCTTGGCTTGGGGAGCTGATCCTGATAACTGGCTTCCAAAGGCTCAGAACCTTGGATGAAAGGAGGAAGCATGTGGAGTGGGTCACTGGAGTCCCGTGGCTTTGGATGCAGCCATGGCTGGTGCTGGCTGGGGGCTCCATACACTCCATGTCCTGTGTTTTGGAGGACTGGACTAATCAGCCAGCTGTAATTGGTCTCCCCACTGTGAAAACAAGCAGCCCTGGCCTTTGGCCATGCTGTCCCATTAACGTGGCCCCGGGAATGTGCCTCTCAGGAGGAGGATTTGCCTCTGCTGCCTCTGGGATCGCAGAGACTCCAGGCCAGGTACATGTGAGTGCCCTGGCTGGTTTTTGTGTGCAGTGCAGGACTGTTGGCACAGTCCCCTTTCCCAGCAGAGCCCCTGTTGTTGTTTTCCTGACTTATCAGCTCCCTGAAGGTTCTTTGGATGGACAGGATTTCATATGGATGAGGGAGCCTGCTCCTTTCCCCTGCTTCACCCCCTCTGGTGTTACCATCCCTCCAGGGTGGGTGTCAGGGACTGCCAGCCCTGCATTCCCGTTAGGGCTGCCCATTCCGTGGCATTTTGGAGGGAGAATGCCGGGAGAAGCAGCTGCACCGAGGCAGTCGCAGCTCCGACCTGCAGCAGCCCCTCCCCTGAGCCGTGAATCACCACCCTGCTGCCATCTGAGCAAAACCAGCTCTTCCTCGTGAGCTGTGAGCCTTCACTTCACACCCAGGGACTGAACTGACACAGCTGAGGGGCAGCTGATCCCCCGGGAATATCTTCCTGGAGGTGCAGAGCTCCCGAAAGGCAGCGGGACCGGAGGGAGCTGCAAAACAGCTCCTGGGGGTTGGTGTTTCATCCAGACCCTCCAGACCTGTCTGGTGTGACCCCTCCAGTGCTGCCCAGCAGACACCAGGATGTGCTGTGTCTGGGTAGATCTGTGTTCAGAGGGGCTGTGGCTCAGTAGAAAATAAAGCTGAAACAAGTGAAACCCAGACTGGGTATGTGTCACATATTATATACGTATCTTATACCCCCTGTGCTCCCCCTCTGCAGAGGGCAGGGAGGAGGTGCTGGAGGTGAGGTGCCTCTGCCTGTAATTCTCTGCCACAGCCCTGCTGGAAGGCAGCCAGAGCCCCCTCACTCCCCAGTTCCCCTTTGCATGGAGCAGACTGGATGATGCTGGAGGATCTTTCCCTGAAAACAGCTGATTTCTGCACTTCTCAAGAGGGGCTGCTACAGGCAGAAAGGGATTTTATCATCTCGATGTCCTGAACTTAAAGTCTTATTTCCTCTTCTCTTTCCCATTTTGTTGTCCTCCCCAAAACAGCCTGGCCCTGGTTCTCCCCATGGAGCCACATCATGGGCACGTGTCTCCACAGGGATCTTTGTTCCCTGCAGGAGCCACGGAGGCCTTGGAGCTGTAGGAAATGCCCATAGCCCAGTGTTGTATAACATCTAATATTAAGAAAGTTGGCAGGAGCCCATGGGTCCTGCTCTTTGCAGTGAGCAAGCTGCTGAGGTCTGCAGAAATCTCCTGGTTTTCCTCCCCCAAAGATGGCTTTTATTCCTTTCTCCACGAACAGCCCCGTCTTGCTCAGGGAGCTGCCTCTGGCACCAGTTTGCAGTGCAGCCTCCCCCTTAAAGGTTAATTTACAAAGCCAGGGTTGGGACAAGGTGAGGCAGGGTTTGAACTGGTGCTGGCTCTTGCCTGATCCTGCCTCTGTGATCTCTGGAGCCAGGAAACTTTGGCACTCCAGCCCGTGGTCTGACTGATGACGATGTTCCTCTCATTAAGTGGTTCTGGTGACACCCAGCTCGTCCTGCTGGGAAGTGGGAGCGTGGTGTTCGCTGAGTGAGTCCTGGATGCTGCTGAGGGAAGTTGTAGCAGAGGATTCACCCGTGGAACACCCAGCAAAATAATCACAGTGACTGCTAAAAATAGAGTGGGGAGAGCCGAGCTCGCCTGGATGTGTCTTAAAGGAAGCCCAGCCTGACGTGAGGCTGGGCTGGATGGAGTGTCTGAGTCTGTGCTCTCCTGCTCTGCTCAACAGTGAGCACTGAAATCACAGTCACAGAGTCACTGAGGTTGAAAAATCCCTCCAAGGTCACCAAGTCCATCCTGTGACCAATCCCCACCTTGTCACCGAGTACCACGTCCATTCATTCCTTGGACACCTCCAGGGATGGTGGATTCTCCTGGAGACTGGGATCCTCAGGAGCAGACAGAGAGTTGTGGTTGTGCCTGAAATAGCTGAGCAGCTTTCATCCACATGCCTGGGAGCTGCAGTGTGTGGTCAGCTTGTCGGAGCATCCCAGAATGGTTTGGGTTGAAGGGACTTTAAAGCTCATCTCATTCCACCCCCTCCATGGGCAGGGACACCTTCCACTAGCCCAGGTTGCTCCAAGCTGGCCTTGGACACTTCCAGGGATGGGGCAGCCACAGCTTCTCTGGGCAACCTGTGCCAGGGCCTCCCCACCCTCAGGAGCATTAAGGGAATTCTTCTGACTGGAAGACACTTTTGGCCTTTGAGGAAAAGTGGTCCCAGCTCATCCATCTCAAGCACTTTTCTCTCTCCGATGGTTTTTCAAGTGAGTGCAGCTTGAGTGTGGTATTGCAAAGGACCTACAGGAAACTGGAACTTGTTGGCTTAGTGGTGAGGGATGGAAAAATAAACAAAAATGACTGAAACCCTTCCCCAGAGGAAGGTATTAGTCACCCAGAGAGAGTGACTTATATTTGCTCTAAGGTGTTGGCCCACAGTCTTCCTTGTCCTAGAAAGAAATGCATTTCCCTGCTGAGCCTGGCAGCCTGACACTGCCAAGGAAAGCTCTGGGAGAGGTGGAGCCTCTCTTTTGCAGGTACCATTGACAGGTACAGCTGCAGAGCTGTGATGTTTAACGTGCCCAGCACAGCACCAGCTGCTGGGAGTGTGATTCCAGTGGCCTTTAAGGAGTTTGGCAGCCAGGCAGTGTGGGAAGCAGGAGTTATTTTGGACACAGGGCCTTCTTGCAACACATCCATGACAATACAGAAAGGGGCAGTGAGGCCTGAGGGTTTTTTTAAATGCAGTTGTGAGGTTTTTTGGAGTGGTTTTGTGTTTTCCTGCAAGCCAGCTGCTCTTCTATAAGGCTGCTTACCCTGCAATTACCCTTTGTTTTTTCCTAAATAACCGTGGCTGCCTCCCTCCCTCATCCCAGGGGAGGTGACTTGACTGGAGAGCCAGAAGAGTTAGGAAATACCTGTACTGTAGGTGCCAGGTGAGGTACCAGGAAAAGGTGGCCGCAGTGGGCTGGATTTTGGATCAGGGAGCAGCAATTCTTTGCTCCAAAATGTATTTGTGAGACACACACGTAGGAATGTCTCTCAGCCAAGACTGACCAAGCTTCAGATTCTGCCAAAAATTGCAAATATTGGGCAAAGTCTCTTCCTCTTTCCCTATTTTGGCCTCTCTGTGTGTAAACATTTTGTCAGTTGGGGAATTTTTGGGGGATTTTTCGCTGAAAATTGCCAGCTCGGAGCTGGTTTTTAAACTCAGCGGGAAAACGCGGTGCCTGCTACACAAACGTCAAAAATGGTAAAATCACTGCAAAATTCCACGTGTGGCAGCAGGAAGGGGACTGGGGTGGCTGCTGGGGGCACTGCCAGGTGTCAAAGGTGATGAGGAAGTGCCACCCAGTGCCACCCAGAGCAAGGATTTGGATCAGCCATGCCGAGATCTGATGGTCTGTCTGTGTTTTAATCTTGCAGCACTGGGACGTCTTCAAAAACGTGACCAATTTGTTTATCTTAGTACCTGCACTGCTGGGCCTGAAGGGGAACCTGGAGATGACTCTGGCATCCCGCCTGTCCACTGCTGTGAGTACCCAGGGAGCTCAGGGGGGGAGCAGGATGCTGGGTTTGGGAAGAGGTGGGAAGGAAAATCTCTGTGTCAGTGACCGCAGACACCGGAGCCTGGAGTTCAGCCTGCTGGGAAGGTGTTTCCATCCCACTGGGCTGATGGGATTTGAAGGTTTAATGGTCCTTAAGCTCTGCTGACAGTTCACTTCCTTGTGCTGGCTGCTCAGGGGCCTGAGGGCACGGTGAGAGATGGCTTTGGAGTGCTTGGATCCAGTTTTTTCCACGAGGGAAGCTGGTGCAGGAATGTTATCAGAGCAGGCTGGAAGGAGCCAGGGTGGGGAGGGCTGGGAAGGAGAGTGCCTGGAGAGAACTGTACAGCAAAGCAGAGGGGACCTTGCACTGAGAGCTTGAGGGGGATTGACAGGCTCTTGAAGTGATGGAGATCTCCTGCTCCAATTCAGTGGGATTCCTGTGGAACACTGAGCTCCCTGTGAGGGATGGGGCAGGCTCTTGTGAGCTCCTCGGAGCACTGTGTCAGTCCAGCTGTCAATTAATTGCTTTGTGTTTAAATGTCCCTCCAACACAGCACTCTTGTGTCTGGAGCTGCTGGAGAGAGACCAACACCCTCTCCTGACAGGGACAATAACGCTCCTTCCTGCTGCAAGGCATCTTCTGCTTGAGCATGACAGCAAGTGACTGCCTGATGTCCCTGTGTTCCCCATGATGGGAGCTTGGAATTTTACATCTAGAAGGTGTTGGCTGCCTGCTGCCAAGCTTCTGGCTCCTCTGTGCCGAGGAGAGTCCTTGCAGCAGCCAGCCTGGCCTCGGCTTTGGCAGTGCTGATGTACCTTGGCTCGAGAGAGCTGCTTGGGAAGTGCTCACTGAGATGTAGGGATGGAGAACTGTCTGCCTGGGTGGCAGCAGCAACCTCCTTCTTGGCATGTTCCCTTCCCCTCAGCCCTCCCCTCCTGCCTGCTGCAGGAGAAGGCACAGCAGAGTGGAATAGGTCCCTCTGGATCTGCTCTCCCACGTCCTTCCTTCTTCCATCTGGAGCAATGGGGAGATTCCAGCTGTGACTCTTTGCTCCTCAGTAGCTCTCACTGGCCTCTGAGGCCCAAGGTTTTTGGTGCATTCCAGAGCCAACATTTTGGGCTGCTCCCCTCACCACAGCCCCCCCGTCCCCCTTGGAGCAGCTCCTCGTGTGAATCCTGAGGAAGCTGCTCCCATCCCCTGAGCCAGTGGCACGTGAGCATCGTGTTCTGCAGGGTCTGAGGTTGCCCCTGGGGAGCAGGAAGGCAAACAGCATTTCCCTGGACTAACCCTTCCCCCTGACCATGGGGCCACCTCCTTCTTGGATGCAGCCCTTGCCCTTTGTTCCCTGAAGGAGCAGGGCCCTGAGCTGCCCTGGGAATGGCTGTGCCAGCACTGCCTGGCAAAAGCTGGGCTGGGGCTGCTTCCCCTCGGGGCTGGGCTCCTCTCCCCAGGCACTGTGGGGAGGGCAAAGCTGCTGGGAGGCCCCACACTGCCCCTGGCCCAGCTGTGCTCCAGAGCCAGGGCCTGCAGGAACAGAGCCTGAGCTTTGTTCACGGAAACAAATCCCTTTGTTTTATTCATTCTCCATTGTTCAGATCCTGACAGGATCCTTGCTGTCCCACAGGCTCTTCTCCCTCTTGGCCTTGCCCAGCTTGCACTTTCTGAGCATGGGCTGGTCAGGGTGAGTGCTTGGCTCTCCTGGGACAAAGGCAGAGTGGCACTTGTGTGTCCTCTTCCCTCCTGGGGCTGGCACAGAGCAGTGTTGGGGAAGGCTTGGCAGAGAACCAAAAATGTGGACAGTCAGCAATGCAAAACTTTGCCCCATCTGCTCTGGTGGCTGCAGGAGGGTCACGAGGACACCAGCACAGAGAGCACCCACCAGCTTGGTCTCCTGGTGCCTCGTGGCATCAGCCTTGTGGGCCAACAGGCAGGCTCTGGCCTCTGCCTCCCTTTGCCCTGGCTGCCTCCACATGGATCCCAGAGCCTTGCTCTCTGCCTCCTTAAAATCATGGAATCACAGAATCATTAAGGTTGTGAAAGACCTCCGGAGATCATCAAGTCCAGCCTCCTTGTGTCTGTGCATGGTGGGACAGGGCAGTCTCTTGGGCTCTCCTTTTTCCCCTTGCCCTGCTCATCCCTCGGCGTGGGGTCCCACGTGCAGGCGTGTGGGGGGAGCTCCCCTCTGCCCGGAGCTTCCCGGGGTGGATCCCGTGCTCTCTCCACAGGAAAGCAGCCCAGAGTGCTTTCTCAGACTGTGGGTTTCTAATTAGTGCTGCATTAAGGCACCTCAGACATTCCTTTCACAGTTAAGAAGCAAAACTCTCCCATTAGTTAAAGGATTTAAATCCTCTTGGCAGTGACTACAGCTAGGTTGTGTTAATCCCAGCCTAATTGCCATGTGGCTGGAATTTTAAGGTCAGGCTTCATATGGAGCTGAAATTCCTGTGCTGGACGTGCTACTCCAGTCAACTTTTTGTTGGTTTTCCCCCATTCCTTCCTCCTCTCCACTAAACTGCCCAGAATAATTCACTCCAGAGCTGGGGGCATCTCAGTGCTGGTTGAACTGAGCTGGCAGCTCTCAAGCACGTGCAGCAAGGAGAGCAGAGGGATTAGCTGATCATTGACTCCTGGTTTTCTTGTTTTGTTTTCCTTTGCTGGAGGCCAGCAAGGAAACCTGAGAGGAGGAAATTGCTGCTGCCTTGTTGTGCAGAAGTTTGATGCTGTCAGCCAACAGCTCCAACGCACATTGGAGCCTCTCCCTTGCTTCATCTTCATCAGCTTCTAATAATACAAGTTAGGCATAAGTTTATGTGCCCTGCTTCTCCATTCTTCCATAAAAAGCCCGAGGAGGTGGTAGGGAAGAGCAGAGCTCGTGCCCTGCAGTGACCAGCCGACTGCAGCCACTCCGCTGGGCTATTCTGGAATCGCACTCCAGGGAATTAAAGCAACTTTCCGTCTCTCCTGGTTATCCTGATTAGCATCTCCCGCAGCTGCAGCGGTGCCAGGTGACCCCTGTGCCATGGCTGCTTCCTGCCAGTCCATCCCCACGTGGCACTGGCCTTGTTTACTCAGCTTTTACCCGAAACAGGGGTTTTTGCTGCCAGCTTCCTCTGCCCACGTGCTGCTCTGGCCTCGCTCCGTGTCGGAGCAGGGGCACACAGCTGACCTGGCAGCCCTGCTTCCCTCCTGCCTGGCTGACCTGAGGGGCAGCATAACCCAGCTGGGCCTGAGCCAGGCTTGGCTGGATCAGAACTGTGGTGGGTCAGTGAGCAGCAGTGTGTGACTGCAAAGGGACAGGGGGGGTCTCGGTGCTTCTGCAGGATTTCCATCGGGTAAATCCAGAGCAGCAGCTGGAAGAGGTGCTGTAGTTACCCAGGGTGCACAGCCCAAGGGACAGTCACAGCCTGGGCCCCAGCTGGCCCCTCACACCTGCAAACACACCTCTGCAGAGCTGGAAGGCAGGAATTTCACTGTTGGCATGTGCAAAGTGCTGTCAGTCTTTAATGATATTCCATGTCCTCTTGCAGGCTAATATTGGCCAAATGGACACACCCAAAGAGTTCTGGAAGATGATAACAGGAAACATGGCTCTGCTACTGGTAAGAAAAAGGGAAAGGAGAAGGAAGTGGAATATTGGTAGCTGGTGCAAGCTCAACTCTGGCAGATGCAGAAAGTTTAAATACCTGGGTTTGCTACTGACTGTCAATATTCTGTGTCTAACAGAGAGGCAAGTGGCACCTTTTTGTCCCATCATCATGTTTTCTCTACAGGTTAGACTTGGTGTTTCCCTGCTGGATTCTAATCCAGCTGACATGGGACCCTGGGTGGTGCTTCTCTCTCAGAATCACAGAACAGAATCCCAGGATGGTTTGGGTTGGAAGGGGCATTAAAGATCATCCCATTCCACCCCCTGCCACATGCAGGGACACCTTCCACCAGCCCAGCTTGCTCCAAGCCCTGTCCAACCTGGCCTTGGACACTTCCAGGGATGGGGCAGCCACAGCTTCTCTGAGCAACCTCTTCCCTCACCCTGGGACTGTTTGCTCTCCTGGTAACCCTCTGGCCTCCATTTCCAGGTTCAGGCCACCGTGGTTGGCTTCCTGGCCTCCATCGCCGCCGTGGTGTTCGGATGGATCCCAGACGGGCACTTCAGCCTGTACCACGCTGTCCTGCTCTGTGCCAGCAGTGTGGCCACTGCCTTCGTTGCTTCCCTTTTTCTGGGTGAGAGACAGATGCTGAACGCCTTCTGTGCCCCTCTGCCTAAAATGCTTGGCTTCCTTTGGCTTCATCCTGCTCTTTTTCCTCTTTTTGCCTCTAGGAATGATTATGATTGGGGTCATCATCGGGTCCAGGAGGATGGGGATCAACCCTGACAACGTGGCCACCCCGATTGCTGCCAGCCTGGGGGATCTTGTCACCCTGGCTCTGCTGTCAGGAATCAGCTGTGGCTTGTACAAGGACCTGGGTGAGGAGCAACAAAAGGCCTTTGCCTGGTCTTTCCCTGTACTGCTGTGTGTCCACTCATCTCACCCTCTTCCTTTGCCCTTTCTGTCTTTGGGGTGTTCAGGATTCCTGGTCTAGAGCTCCCTCAGTTAGTGAGATCTAGTCAGACTGATGAGGGGAGGATATGGACTTCCTCAGTGCCTTGTAGCTGCAGACACTCTTGGCAAGGACCTGCATGCTTCCCTCTCTCGGGGTAAAGTGGTCAGGAAGGGGTTGTCCCCTTCCAGGTGCCAGGGGCTCGTCTGTGGCTGAAGCACTGGGAGAAGGAAGGTCTGGATTTCATCTGCTGTGCAGTCAGCACCAGCTGGGGATCCTCAGTGCAGGGCTGCAGCTGCAGACTCTCCACTTCCTCCTCCTTCCCTGGGGCCGGGATACAGGGATGTGACTCAGCCAGGTTCATCCAGAGGTGAAGCAACACTGGGAGATCTTGCCCAGGAGCAGAAAGTGGGAATGAGCAGTTGAAATGGAAGAGATCTCACTCGGATCTGTTGATAAACAGACCCAAGTGTTGTACTCACAGCCCTGTGCCCCCAGTGTTGTACTGACACCCCTGTAAGTAGAACTCCCACCCCTGTGAGTACACCAGGAGGAAGAAGGACCACGTCCTGCAGAGTTGAGGCTAGACTGGCCCGGTTTCCCTGCCCTTCCTGGCATTCCCAACTCCAGCAGCCTGTGGCCAGGCTTGCTGAGCTCTGCTGAAGCATCACCTGCCTCACTGCAGTGGGATGTGTCCTTGATATCTCTCACATTTCCCCCCCAGAGAGCAAGTTCTACGTGAATCCCCTGGTGTGCGCCTTGTTCTTGGCTCTGCTGCCCATCTGGGTCTTCATTGCCAGGAAGGATTCAGCGACCTGGGAGGTGCTTTGTTCCAGCTGGGAGCCCGTTGTCATCGCCATGGCCATCAGCAGGTGGGAGGCTTCCTGTCCCCCCACCCCACAGCCTCATTCCTCGGGAGAATTCCAGCACTGACCCCTTCAATCTTCCCCCTGCAGCGTTGGGGGGTTGATTTTGGACAGGACGGTCTCGGATCCGAACTTTGCTGGGATGGCTGTTTTCACACCAGTGATCAATGGTGAGTCCTTCCACCCTGGCTGGGCTTGCAGCTCTTGGAGGCTCTTGGCAAGCAGTGGAGTTGTCCCCTGTGCCTTATTTCAGGCAGGTTAAGGACAGTGAATCCCTTTTGGATGCCAGTGAGGCACTGAGCTTTGACTCAAGCTTTACAGCACCGTGGCTCCCCCCAGTGCCAGCCTATCACTGAAAGGTGCCTGCCCTGGGAGGCTATTCCCTAACAGACACCTTTCCAGGGACCTCTTCACTTCCTCATTCCTCCTGTCTGGTGGGACACCCCCATCTTCCAAAATATTTACCTTGTGGCACCTGGCAACATAAGAGATTTGTATTTGCACCTGGGAGTCAGGAAATCCAATTGCTTCTGGTGTAAAGCTTTGACCTCTTTTCTGCCTAATGAACCAGAGAAACTCCTTTTTTTAATTACTTTTTCCAAGAAATGCAGTTAATTCTGAGCCAGTGCCTCTTGTGCCAGTGGGTTTCACAGTTTCATTACGCCTCATGTGAAAAATAATAGTTTTAAACTTCCTGTGTGTGTTTTGCTTGTCTGACTCATCATTTTTGTTTCACATATTTCTTCTAACCCAAGCTGCAGTAATAGAATGGCACCTATTTTACTGAGGGGTCTGAAGGGAAGCCACAGAACAGTGTGCTTTGTCTGAGCTCCTTACATCCTGCAAAAGTGGAATTCGGGTCAAAAATAGACTGCCCTACATTATCCCAGCACCTGGCAGTTCCAGATCTGCTGGTTGTTGAAAACAGCTCTTCAAAGTGTTTGACACATCACCTTCCTCTCTCTCCTGACCTGCAGGTGTGGGTGGCAACCTGGTGGCAGTGCAGGCCAGTCGCATCTCCACCTACCTGCACATGAGTGGGATGCCTGGGGAGAGCTCCAAAACAGTCCCTTGGAAGTGCCCCAGCCCTTGCAGCACTTTCTGCAGCTCAGGTATCTGTGTCAGCCCTTGAAATAACGTTGCACAGGAAAGGGTGGCCCAAGCCTGTTGGGAGGCAGGTGTGGGGCAGAGCACAGCTCAAATTCCAGCACAGAAGGTGGGCAGAGGTTGTTACTCCTAGACAAGCTTGATAGCCTGCACTCTGGGGCACAGAATCCCAGAATGGTTTAGGCTGGAAGGGACCTTAAAACCCATCCAGTCCCACCCCCTGCCATGGGCAGGGACACCTTCCACTATCCCAGGTTGCTCCAAGCCCCATCCAGCCTGGCCTTGGACACTGCCAGGGAGGGACACTTCCAGGGTCCTGGCCTTCTGGGCCAAGGCTGGCCCTGAAGAGCAAGGAGAGGGAACAGATCTCCAGTGTGGGGATGATCTGTCAGAAAACTGATCACTAGACAAGGTACAGGCAGAAATCCAAGGAAATTCAGTGTTCACAGTAAATTCTTGAGAGCTCTGTGCTGAGCACTGTCAGAGGTGGGACGTGGCAGCTGAGCTCTGAGACAGCTTTTACTCTGGGGACAGAATGAAACTCTCCTTGGTGCAGAGTCCTTGTGTATCCTGATGGTTGGCTCAATGCTCAGAGTGCTGCCTTCCAACCCAAATCTGCAGTGTGGGAGCATCCAGGGTGGTGGCCTCTGCTTCTGATTTGGCCACAGTTGTGCTGCCTTGTCCCCCAGAGCCCAGCTAAGCTGCAGAGCTGTGTGTGCAGGCCTGTCTCAAGCCTGGTGCCCATCTCTGTCCCCCTGCAGACGTGAACTCCCGCTCTGCCCGGGTGCTCTTTCTCCTGGTGGTGCCTGGACACCTGGTTTTCCTCTACACCATCAGCTCCATGCAGGGTGGCCACACCACGCTCACCCTGATCTTCGTGGTGTTCTACATGACAGCTGCACTGCTCCAGGTGAGTGCAGCCCCTCGGGGGGCTGAGCCCCCAGGCTGGGCCAGGGGACACTGCCATGTCACCTGCACTGGGAACTGCTCAGTCAGTTGAGCTGTAGGTCCAGAGCACTCGGGAAGGGGGTTCTGACCCCTCACCAGCACCATTCTTTGGGATGTGGCTGTGCTTCTGTGAGCCAGACTTGCAGAACTGACCTCTGGGATTGCAGAGCTCGGGATCTGTGGCTGACGTGGCTCTTGCCTTCCTGCCTGCCAGGTTCTTATTCTGCTCTACATCGCTGACTGGATGGTGCACTGGATGTGGAACAGGGACCTCGACCCAGACAACTTCTCCATCCCATACCTGACAGCACTGGGGGACCTCATTGGAACAGGGCTCCTCGCTGTCAGCTTTCACATCCTCTGGCTTATTGGGGACCGGGACTCCGATGTGGGGGATTAGCTCTCCCTGCTCCCCCCTTCCCACACTTCTTCTCCTCCTCCTCCTTTCATTTCTTGTTGCTTCTTTTCCTCCACCTTTACTCTTCTTTGCTTCCTCCCCACACCCTGTCTCTGTCGAGACTTCATCTTTAGTACTGGAATTCTCATTATTTTCAATGGGAATTTTATGGGGTTTATATTCCAAGCCCGGTTTGTACAGAAAAATCTCTCTAGTTTTAGGAAGGACAAAAAAAAAAAATAAGTGTAACGAGACAATCACCAAGTGCAATTTCGTAGGAGCTGTGTCTGAACCAAGGTTACAGTGAAGTTCCTGGTCAGTCAGATCGTGCAAGGAGCCCACCCTGCCCCACTCACTTGAGGTCAAGGGCTGCTTTTTCGCTTCATAAGCGTTTTAAATCCTGGAGCTCAAGTTCAGGTTTATTTTACTGAACTGGCAGCTTCTAGCAAAGTACAACCTCATGGAGGAGGGCACGGGGCATCTCCTGCCTTGTGTCGGCTCTCTGAAGCTCCATCCCGTGCCCAACTCCCAAAGGGTGAGGGAGTCTCTGGGAGAGGGATGAGTGAAGAAGGTGAGGAAGGGTCCTGTGTGCCCACAGGGAAGTGAGTGATCTTGGCATTGAGGACTGCAAAGCCCCCAAGCCTGGCCATGAGCAGGCTGGTCTCTGTCAGCCTTCAGGGCTCTTTAGTGCTCCCATTTGGATGTAATTTAGTTCTGGAAGCTGAGGCAGTTCCCTGTGAGCAGCTCTGACCAACACCCATGATGGCAGGCCCAGAGACAAAATGAAGTGGAGTCTCTTTGCCACTCTTTTATACGGTTTGGCTGCCGTGGCCACGCCCCCTGGGCGGGACTGCTGGGTCACTGACCACTCAGCACCCCGCTAAGCCGGAGTGACTGATGGTGCGGCCAATCAGATGTCTGGTATGCGTGGTGTGGGCGGGCTCCTGGTTTGATTGACAGCCTGGCCACATGGCACTGGCTGGAGGGCTCGGGGCGCCATGTTGGGCACGGAGCAGAACCCAAAATTTGGGCGTGGGTTTGAGGTTGTCTTCTTTGCCTTCTGCTTTAAACCTGTTCCTCCCACTGCAACATGACTGTCCTTTACTGGTACCACTTCCTCCTTTTGCTTAACTTCCATATTTCTCACACAAACCAGCGCTCGTCTCCTCCCTTTGGCTGTCTGGAAGGCAGCCCAGTTGTGGTGCTGGCAGCGCTGATCTTCACCCAAAATAACTCCAAGTGGGGACATCTGCTTGTTAGTCTGGGCAATGCCAGACCTACCTGAGCTCTACAAAGCGCTGCCAAAGTGGAGACAGCTTTGCTTTTTAGGCAGGGAGTGATTCCTTGGGGGGCAGTTCCTGCCTCTCCCACAAACCAGAGCCAATGCACCTGAGGGGGCAGGTCGAGACCAAAGTTAGTCTGTGCCATGTCCCGTGTGGGAGCAGCTCTGATCCTCCTCTCTCCCTTCCCCCCCGGTGACTTCTCACATATCTCATCTGGCCAAAGCTGTGCCCAAAATAACCCAAAAAACCACAAACCAAACCCCAACTGCGCTGCTGTGCTGAACTCTCGGCCCGGAGAATTCTGGAACGTTCTCTGCTGCCCACACGATTTCTCTGCCTGATGTTGAGGGATAGATACGAGGCTCCCTTCCATTAACACTTCAGCTTTTATGTGTATGTAGAGAAGCTCTCCTGGTCTTTTAGGTGTCACATCACTCTTCACTTCTCCAAGAAAAGAGGAACAATCTGCCGCTCGTGGTCTCCTGTGCAGAGACCCAAGGGGTGGGAGCTGCTGTGCCAGGGGTCCTTGTGTTATATATGGTATAAAGGTGTGTTTGGGGCAAGGGCAAGGAAGAATCTAACTTAAAACTGAGGAATACTGATGGAAAAACCTCTTCCCACTGGTTGCACTCAAATGCATGCCTACTCTACAGCTGCCTGCAGATGAAAATCCTGGTCTATTCTTTTATTAAAGGAAAAAGGACTGTCTTAATTATTTATAGTTCCTATAACTGACAGATGTCAACTTAACTGATAAATTATATTTGGTTAAATAAAGATTACATTTATTTATGTGGACTGCAGTGCGTTTCCTCCTTATGCCTCTGCTTGGTTCAAGGTCCCTCTCATGTTTTGCAGCTTATTTTAGTTCAGGCTGAAGCTCCTTTGACACACAGTGGCAGGAGAGTTATGAAAAGCAATTAAATTGCTCGGCATGAAGCGAAGTGGGATTAGTGTAAGTGCCAGGGTACCTGGACCTGGCCTTGGTCAGGTCCCAGGAGCTCGTGGGGGGTCCCAGCAGGAATCTGGGTGTTTGTTCTGGATACAGAGCCCAGCCCTGGCTCCCTGAGTGCTGCCTACACGTGGCCTCTGCCCGTGCCTGTTGATGAAGGTTTGTGGGTCAAAAAGGTTCTGCAGCTTTTGAGGCACCCTGAGCCCCTGGATTTGCAGGAATTGCTGGCTGTGGAAGGACCCCCATGCTCCCCAGCTGCGGGATGTGCTGCTGGGGGCTGATTCCCTGCAGGGCTGTGCCTCAGGCTCAACCAAACAAGGATCTTGGTGCAGAATCCCAAAACAAAGCCCTGGCAGTGGCAGAGATGGGGGAGCAGCCGCTCAGCCCCTGCTGGCTCACGTCCCACACACTGAATATCGACCTCACCCTGGTCTCCTGGAGAGGGGAGGGGTGTGTTGGCCTTTTCTAGTTGCAGAGAGAAACACTGGGGCGTGAAGGCTCTGAAGAAATAAAATATATTAATGTGTGTGTGTGCGTGTTGTGGAGTCTTTTTGTTGATCTGTGGGTTGCAAAGGGGCTGGAGGTGCAGGGGTGCCCGGGGCTGGGGGTGCAGAGAGCAGGGGCTGGGGGTGTTGGGGTGCATGTGGCGGGATCTGGGGGTGCATGGAGCTGGATCTGGGGGTACAGGAGCACATGGGGCTGGGGGTGCATGGGGCTGGATCTGGGGGTGCAGGGGATGCCCAGAGCATGGCTGGGGGTGCAGAGGGCAGGGTCGGGGGGTGCAGGGGATGCACAGAGCTGGATCTGGAGCTGCATAGAGCTCGGTCCAGGGGTGCAGGGGATGCACAGAGCTGGATCTGGGGGTGAAGGGGATGAACAGGGCTGGATCTGGGGGTGAAGGGGATGCACAGAGCTGGATCTGGGGGTGCACAGAGCTGGGTCCGGGGGTGCAGGGGATGCACAGAGCTGGATCTGGGGGTGCAGGGGATGCACAGAGCTGGATCTGGGGGTGAAGGGGATGCACAGAGCTGGATCTGGGGGTACACAGAGCTTGGTCCAGGCGTGCAGGGGATGCACAGAGCTGAGTCCGGGGGTGCAGGGGATGCACAGAGCTGGATCTAGGGGTGCACAGAGCTCGGACCAGGGGTGCAGGGGATGCACAGGGCTGGGTCCAGGGGTGCACAGAGCTCGGACCAGGGGTACAGGGGATGCACAGGGCTGGATCTGGGGGTGCACAGAGCTCGGACCAGGGGTACAGGGGATGCACAGAGCTGGATCTGGGGGTGCAGGGCATGCACAGAGCTGGATCTGGGGGTGCAGGGGATGCACAGAGCTGGATCTAGGGGTGCAGAGGGCTGGATCCGGGGGTGCAGGGGATGCACAGGGCTGGATCTGGGGGTGCAGGGGATGCACAGAGCTGGGTCCGGGGATGCAGGGGAAGCACAGAGCTGGATCTGGGGGTGCAGAGGGCTGGATCCGGGGGTGCAGGGGATGCACAGGGCTGGGTCCGGAGGTGCCCGGGACAGGCAGGGCCGGTCCCGGCCGAGCGAACTACAAGTCCCGGCAGCCCCGGCGCGGTTCCGCCGCTGCCCCACCTGACCCTCTCACATGACCGGCGGGGCCGGGGCCGGGGCCGGGATGGGGCAGCGTGATCGCATGTTCAAGGTGCTGGTGGTCGGGGACGCCACGGTGGGCAAAACATCGCTGGTGCAGCGCTACGCGAACGACAGCTTCAACCGGCACTACAAATCCACCGTGGGAGGTGAGCGGGGGCACCCTGCCCTGCCCGGGGGCTGCCCGGGCATCCTGGTGCCATCCCCGGGCTCCTCCCCGGGGACTCGGGGGCTTCCCGGGGGTGCCGGTGCCATCCCCGGGGGCTCCAGGGGTCTTCCCGGGGTTTCTGTAGATTCCCCGGGGTCCTGATGTTCTCCAGGGAGTCCCGGTGCCCTTCCTGGGGTGTCGAGGCTCTCCCCGGGGTCCCAGGGCTCTCCCTGGGGTCCCAGTGCTCTCCCCGGGGTCCCAGTGCTCTTCCCGGGGTCCCAGTGCTCTCCCCGGGGTCCCGGGGTCCCCCCCGGGGTCCTGGTACCCTCCCCCGGCACCGACCTCTCCACCGGGTCTGTCCCCGGTTCGCATCCCGAGCCCTCTCGGCTCCGTCCCGGAGCGCCCCGGGACCCCCCACCCTCGGCCGAGCCCCCGGGACCGCCGCCCCTCGCCCGTGGGATGCTCGTCCTGCTCCCCCTGCAGCCGTGGGAGCGGGAATTTGGGAAAGGAACAAGCTCCCATCGGTGGTTTGTTGAGCATCTCCCGCAGCAGCTCCCAGAGCCTCTTCCCTGAGCCCCCCGGGGGTTCCTGTCCCTCCGCCCGGCTCATTCCCCGGGGTGCCCCATCCTTCTCCCCCCTCCTGGGAGTAACGACCCCCAGGAGCTGGACGGTCTGAGGTTACAGGCTCAGCTCTTCCCAGCAAAACCAGCAGCATTAATTAATGGTTTGGCATGAATTTAACAGCCTGGAACCACCACCGGGGTGTTGGTGTTTGGGAAGGTGGTGGGGCAGCGACAGGTCTGGGAATGGGGCTGAGTGGGGTTGTGGTTCTTTGTTCTGCACCAGTGTAAATGAATAACCTGGAAGGAGCAGGAGCTGACAAGGCTTTTCCCAGGAAATCTCCCCAGGGGCCCAAAATAGTGGGGGCCAAGCAGAGCTGTTTAAGTCTTCTTATTCAGAAATAGAGGAGGGGATGGATTAAAAGTGGAAAACACTGGAGAGCCACATCCCAGTGGGCAGAGCACCGGGCTGTGCCCATGGTCACTCCCAGCAGGAAGAGCTGCAGACTTTTTTCTTCTTTTTTTTTTTTTTTCCTTAGTTCCTGGTTTTGGTAAGTCCCAGCCCTGCTGAGGGTGGCTGCCAGCAGCGCCACACAGGTTTTCCCCTGTGGAGAAACCCTGACCCATCAGAATCTGAGGGGCACAGGGTTTCCCCTTCTGACTCACTGCATTGGTTAAATCAAATCATGGAATGATGGAAGGGACCTTAAAGCTCATCTCCTTCCACCCCCTGCCCATGGGCAGGGACACCTTCCACTAGCCCAGGTTGCTCCAAGCCCCGTCCAACCTGGAGTTGTGGGTGGGCTGGTTACAAACCCACTGGTTCGGGGTTCTGGAAGGTCCCACGATTTGGCCTGTGCTGGGAGATGGGGAGAGGCTGTGGAGGAATGAGCTCTGTGGTGCAGAGCACCCCTGACGAGGTTTCCTTTCTTTTTTTTGGGATTCCCCAGTGGATTTTGCCCTGAAGGTGGTTCAGTGGTCGGAGTCGGAGACGGTGCGGCTGCAGCTCTGGGACATCGCAGGTGAGTCCACAGGGACCAGGAAACAGGAGCAGAATTTAAAGTTCTCAATGGCTTGGCCCTTTTCCCCTTCCCTTTTCCTCTTCCTTTTCCCCCTTCCTTTTTCTTTTCCCCTTCCTCTTCCTTTCCCCCTTCCTCTTCCTCTTCATTTTTTTTTCCTTTTCCTTCTGCTCCCAAAATAAATCCCAGAAGCCTGTGGATTCCAGGGGTGTGACTGCTCTGGTTTGCAGGGCTGGCTCTAGCCTGCCATAGTAATTTAAATATTTAATTAAAAGCCCATTTGCAAGGAGCTCAGCAGCAAAGACAGTAATTCCTGATGAGCATTTCCTTTTGGCTTCAGAGCCAGAGCAGAGGGAATGGGAAACAGGCTCATCTGTAGCTGGATGTGTGACTTCTCAGCTCCAGATCTTGTGTTAAAAACCTGGATTTCTGGCATGACAGCCAGGAATCCTGAGCCTTGCATGGAGCAGCCTCATGGACCTTAGACTGCTTTGGCTGCCAGGATTGGGATCTGGCTGCTCCATGAGCTGTGGGAGCAGGGCCAGTGGATCCCTCAGGAGCAGGCATGGCAAGAGGAGACTGTTGGGTGCCCCCGAGGTGAGGGCACCAGGATGGGAGGAGGACACACTCCAGGGGACAGTGTTCCGTGTGCTGAGGTGGAGTGAGGAGCCCCTGCTCCCCGGAGAGCTGCAGGAAAACGTGGCTCCCAAATTCCCTGGCACCAGGACAGGGCAGCAGCGTCTCTAAAATGGCACCTCTGGATCCGGAGAGATGAGAAAAACAGGGCTGTGGTTTCCTCCCGTTTCGCTGCTCGGCCGCCCGTGCCTGGAATCCTTAAAAAGGCAACAGGAAGGAGAAGTTGGCAGCAGGAGGATTGCAGCAAGAAACTGGTTTCGGTTTTGGCACAAAAAAAAAAAAGGCTTTTGAGATGTGGAAAGCAGGGGGGCCAGGCTGGCACCGTGCCCTTGTTGTGCCCCAAGAGAAGGAGATGCCCGAGCTGACGGTCCCTGGGCATCCCCAGCACCTCAGAGGTGTGTGGGGACACAGGGGTGGCTTGAAGGGACTCCAAGTTACACCAGGAATAATGCAAATATTATGGTTGCTCCATCCCTGGAAGTGTCCAAGGCCAGGTTGGACAGGGCTTGGAGCAACCTGGGCTAGTGGGAGGTGTCCCTGCCCACGGCAGGGGGTGGGATGAGATGAGCTTTAATTTCCCTGCCAACCCAAACCAGTCTGGGATTCCATAACTTTATGATCTGAGTGCTGGCATTCAGAGCTGCCCAGTTTGCTCCAGCCCCACCACTGGATCAAACTGGAGTGCCTGTATTTCCTCATTACTTGAGTGGGGACCATCAGTGTCAGCTGAGAAAAGGATGGACCTCAATAAACACATTATTTGCACGAACAAATCCCAAAATAGTAACCCTGGGGGGTGATTTTTTTCCCCTTTGATCCCGAAGGACAGGAACGTTTCACATCCATGACCCGCCTGTACTACAGGGAGGCCTCAGCCTGTGTCATCATGTTTGATGTCACCAACATCAGCACCTTCAGCAACAGCCAGAAGTGGAAGCAGGATTTGGACAGCAAGCTCCTGCTGCCAGATGGGAATCCCGTGCCCTGCCTGCTGCTGGCCAACAAGGTGAGGAGCTCTGGGTGTCTTTGGCTGTCTTTGGGTGTCTTTGG